AATTTGATCGGATAATCTTATAAATCCGATCAAAATCAATCGGAAATATCTGTTTGTTACTTTTTGAATGGATAAAGCCCGGAAATTTTTCTCAGTGTAGCTGTATTTTCACTCTCTTTGAAATTTCACTCAAAAGAATTTAGAGAGTATTCTTTTTTATTTTAAATGCATCTATAATGCAACAATTTTTGTAGTTTTAATAAATTTTAATAATAAAAATATGCAATAATAGTTAAATTACATGTATAAGAAATTTTTCATGCATGAATATGTATGAACATACATAATATGATAAATTATATATGTTTATGACCATTTGTACATAAATATGCGATTACGAAAACGCTCTACATTATAAAACATTATGCATTGAATAATTTTTCCAGCAATACAGTATCACCTTTATAACACTCTAGATATTTATAACATTAATGTCAGTATTCATAAAATCATCGTGATGGTTATAAAGTTGTTGTTAAAGAGTATGCTGATGATTCGTTGCAGTGTTTAATCGTAATTTACGATAGAAGTGCATCTACGTAAGTTTCCTGCATATGCTGCAGCATATGCTGCTTTGCATTATCTTTTCCCTTTTCAGTATTTTTTCAAAGAGAAAGAAGGAAAATGAAACATAGTGTTACCATCGATACCTTTAACATGAATACATATACAACATGAACGGAGAATCGAGTCACTTAGAAACACTATTGATTTATCAACACAATTGAATTGTCTCTTTGCTCCTCTGCTCTTAACATTACATAACTATTTCACACCTCGAATTCATATCATTAAATATATACTCTTCATTCAAATAAGAGTCTTGTATTTCCTCCGTGAAAATATAACACATAGATAACTCACTTCTGCACAGTTAATAATGACTATTAATTAATGTATATATTTATATGTTCAGAATACATCAAATAACAGAAAACAAGTAGTTTAAATAATCTTGTATGTATATATAAAATACTCAAGTATTATTTATGAATAAAAAAGTTTATCAACGTAGAGAAATAATATACAAATGTTATTATGAAATATTACGGAATAATTAGTTACGAAATTATCAAAAAAACGAAATTTTTTATATCGAAAATGTAATTTTATGTACTGTGAAATTTGTATAAAGACATTTTAACTTATATTTTTTATGTTTAATATTAAAATAATATTTTATATTTATGAATGCAAATTGTTTTTCAAAGGCTATTTACACGCCAGTTTCTTTTTGTTTGATTGCATGTAGTAAATAAAAAGTAGATAGAGTTGATGACCAAGACCATTTACTTGTCATTGGATTCAATTTCGTGCCACGAATCGATCTTATTTCACAACCATCTGTAGAAAAAAGGAAAGGATTAAGAAATATTTATAATTGGTACGGACTTGTCAGATATATAAGTATATAGATATGATTTTTATGCAACAAATTGTTTTTTGATATTTTCTTAGAATTAACAAGAATCAAACTTACAATTCTTTAATATACATTGAACTTCATGTGGAGTAATAAATTTATTCCATGTGTGAGTACCACAAGGTATAATTTTGAAAATGTATTCGGATGCTATAATAGTAGACAACCAAGATGTTAAAGTTCTGTTTATCGTCGTTAGAAAAATCGACTTTCCAGGTTTCACAATTTTCACACATTCCTATACACAATATTTAGGAAACATTTAATTTTTATTTAATATTTATATTTAATAAATCTTTTATTATAATATTGTACCTTTAAAAATAGTTGTTGGTCTGATACATGCTCCAATACTTCAGAAGATATAACAGCATCATATGTGCTGTTTTCGCTCTCCTTATTAGCAAAATCTTCTATGGTTGTGTGAATGTAATTCACTTTTTCTGATATATTGCGATTCAATTTTACATGATCTTTAGCAACTTTTATTAACTTTTCCGATGCGTCTATTCCGGTTACTTGCGCTCCCGCTCTTGCTAAACTCTCAGCTAATATACCTCCACCACAGCCAACATCCATAATTTTTATTTTTTCTAATGGAAAATCTGGGTTTCGTATTTTGAATCCAGCATTTATCAGTCCGTCTTTCAAAAACTGTATTCTGAATGAATTGTATGAATGAAGAGGATTGTCATTCCACCAAAAGTTCTTCAAAAGAGTAAAATGTTCGATTTCCTTTTGATCCACAGTGGACATTGGTCTGGCGATTATATTAATACATATGATATTTAGTAATAATTCATAATAAATGGTCTATTTTTATTTAGTTGAACAAATACTATTATATGATATATTAAATAGGATATACATATAGGATGTATGATTTTGATCTCTAGTCATATGTTTTAAAGATAAGGAACTATAGATATCTAAGTAATTTAGGACATGATTAGATATATTTGTATTTACAAGAGATAGATTAAGTATATTACATAATTTACGATTTAATATATTTATTTAACACCGTACCTGTTTTGGAAAATGGTTCTCCACGATCTGTTAGTAAACTTGAAAGCCATCATGTTTGCATTGAAACACTTGCACCTACAGCTTAAAAAGCAAATTGCATCAACAATTCTTCGAAAACAATAAAAAAAAACACGCAAAGAATATGTCAAATTTTAATTTTATCACAAAATTCAGATAATATTGGATTTATCATTTAAAAAATAATGATACGTCAATTATAAAATACGTAGATAAAATTTAGAAAAAATTGTAAAAGAGCACAAATGTGGAAGTATTCAGATGAATTTCACTAATTTTATAATTTTGGAATCTTAAACATATTATTGATGATGATACATAGAAAAAATAAAAATAAACGACATGTGTACACTTTGTGATATTTCAATAAAAATTTAACTCTAAATTTAACTGCCTTTTTATACTTTTTCTTACGGAAACAACATACTGTTATACGGGGTTTTAAAAAAATCCGGAAACGCTAAAATATCTCGAAAACGATCGACTAATAATAATATATATGTATAAGCAAAATATATATTATAAGAAGCAGTTATGGAGTTGAAATGTACTTAATGGTGATAATAACTCGACTTTAGGTGGAGTACGCAAGGTCAATGAAGGTCTGTTTAAATTTTTTATATCCGTTTTTTTATATGCATATTGTAGCTTATTTCAAGAGTTTTCCAAAACATTATTTTTCTTAAAGTAGGTAAGTACATTTCGGATTATGAGGTTTGAAAATTACTCTCTAAATCTGAATCAGTGGATAGTCACTAATTAACCCAGTGGCATACTTGGCACTGATAATAATCAGTGAAGTTCAACTAAAAAAGGAAGAATTGTTTGTGAATTTAAAACGGTTAGCGTTAATATCAAAGGTCGCGCCATTCTTTTTCCGCAGCGCCTAGCGGTTACCGATATTAATTTTTAGTTTAGCAGTCGTCCGCCAGAGTCGCTCTCTCGGCCCTCTGCGATCGTCATGTCGAGCGCGAGTTTTTCCGTTTTGTTACTTTTTTTTCTTTATTCAGTACTCAATATTGTAACACGTATCTTAGACTGTCTGTATTAAAAGATTATGTTTTTCGCAAATTATTATTCACGAACCTCATTAAGGCATATAACCGCACGAACATTTTGGTCCTTCGAGCCGGATACAGGCAGAGGATACGCCAGTTTCTCGTCAAGTAAGGCCCTTTGCCCGGTGTCAATTTGCACAACATCAAGTCGTCGAAAAAGTTCAGCCATATTGCAATCGAGTGCGTGCACGCGGATGAATATAAGCTACATCTTATAGCATTCGTAGAAGTGAGCGTAAAAGCGCAGAAGACTCACAAGAGAAATCAAGACGGAAGATTCGTAGTATCACTCCCAGTCAAGGAGCAAATGAAGTGATTGGGAGATTCAAGAGAAATCGCTTGAACCAGAGGTTCAAGAGTTTGGAACGACGATTTAAATGCGACCCACAGCTTCAAGTTGAGTACAGTAAATTTATGTACCTGGTAATGGGGCATATGCGCGAACTTCCCGAACCAGTTCACAATGCATGGCCGCATTTTTACATGCCACATGATTGCATCATCAAGGAAGCCAGCAGCACAACCAAGTTGAGAGTTGTTTTTAATGCTTTTAGCAAAACTTTAACCGGAATCTCATTAAATGACGTCTTAATGATAGGACCCGTTCTACATCAAGACAGTGTTGCCATACTTCTGCGATTCCGCACCTACAAGCTTTAACATTCGATATAGAGAAGATGTATCGGCAAATTCGTATGGATACTGTGAGCAAACGTCACTACAAAGAATAGTATGAAGAGATGATCCCTCAGAAAATATAAAGACTTATGAGTTATTAACGTTGACTTACGGAACATCACCGGCGTCATTCATAGCAACGAAAGTCATTCAACAATTAGCGAAGCTCGAAGCTCATAAATCTCCAGAGGGAGCAGCGGTAGCACGCAGAGACTTCTACATAGACGATTTTATATCAGGAGCAGACACGTTGGTAGAGGCGATAGAAATTAGAGATCAGGTATCTGCATTGCTTGAAGCCGGAGGTTTTAAATTGCGAAAATGGGTCTCCAATAGCAAGAGTCTACTCGATGGGATGCGTAACACGTCATCAGACAATCAGCTACTTGAATTGGACAAATTTGGAGCGGCTAAAACTTTGGGTGTCAACTGGAATCCTGAAGAGGATGTATTTTAGTATAAATTCCAAATTCAAGCGTCGAATTCAAAGACTTACACCAAAAAAGAAGTTCTATCGCAAATCGCGCAGATCTTCGATCCCCTAGGCCTACTAGGTCCGGTTATCACCAGAGCGAAAATTTTAATGCAAAGGATTTGGAGAAGCAACGTAGATTGGGATAATCCATTACCTCCGAAAATCAACGCAGAATATTCAGGACTCGCTATATTCAGGGCCTATCGAGCGCTAGAGAGATCAGAGTGCCTCGCAGAATTAGGGGCGACTCTATGGAAGGAGACAATTACGTGGAGATCCATGGATTCGCAGATGCCAGTGAGAGCGCTTACGGCGCGTGTATATATCTCCGCAGTTTTAACGCAAATGGAACGCCGGAAGTGCACTTATTGTTAGTGTGCTCCAAGTCGCGGGTGGCTCCAATAAAGACATGATCGATGCCAAGGTTAGAGCTATGTGGAGCTCAGCTTTTGGTACAACTTGCAGAAAAAGTCAAGAAAGCATTATAAATTCGTATTAGCAAAGAATATTACTGGACTGACTCACTAATAGTTTTGTATTGGATCCGAGCTGTCAACAAGAAACTGCCAGTCTTTGTAGCACACCGAATGGGTGACATTCAGGATTCAACAACCGTCGAGGATTGGAGATATGTTCAAGGTAAAGAAAATCCTGCGGATTTGATTTCGCGAGGAGCTAGCATCAAGGATTTTATGGATTCGCGAATCTGGTGGAATGAACCTCAATTTGCATCAGAAGGACCTACCAGAGGAACGATACAAGCAGATCGATTATGATGAAGAATGGTTAGAAGACTTCGTTCTGAACATTAGCGAGAACACAAAATTTACATATACTGGGTCTGCAATGGAATTCTCAAGGTGACATGCTGGGAATTCTGGGACCAATCATCACTACTGCGAAGATTTTCATGCAACGATTGTGGGAACTCAAGATTGACTGGGACGAAACGTTACCCAGTGACATTCAAACGCAACGGGCTCGATACGAGGCAGAACTTCCTATTCTAAATCAAACTCAAATTTCACCAAAGGTCATCCATTACGATAACACAGAATTGGAGTTATGCGGCTTCGCCGATGCCAGCGAAAAAGTACGGAGTTTGCATTTACGTTAGAAGCAAGCTTTCGGAAAACCAATACAAGGTAAATCTGCTATGTGCAAAGTCTCGAGTCGCACCGCTGAAAAATCTATCTTTACCACTTGAATTGTGTGCAGCATTATTGCTAGCACAGCTAATGCACAAGGTTCTAGAATCCATAAGCATCACTTTCGCACGCATCTATTTTTGGTCAGACTCTATGATAGCGTTGTCATGGATAAAGGCGCCTCCTAGAAAATAGAGCATCTTTGTAGCAAATCGCGTGAGCGCGATTCAAGATATCTCCAATCCAAATAATTGGTTTTACGTGCACTCTTCACACAATCCTGCGGACATCATCTCAAAGGTATGTCACCATCATCATTACTTTCCACTGAATTGTGGTGGAATGGCCCGGTATGGCTTTCACAAGATGCAACTGAATGGTGCATTAGGAAGTCGTCAATGGAACAAGAGATACCTGAAGCAAGGGGGACGGCAACATCTGCAACCATACAGCAAGAAACCCCAGAAACATTCAATAGATATTCAACACTTAATAAATTAATACAGGTTCAAGCTTACATCTTACGTTTTATTCACAATTCCCGTCCTGACAAGTGCAAGCGTCGAGGGGATTTATCAACAATTGAAATTGACGCGGCTACACACTCATTGGTCAAGATGGTTCAGGCATCCGCCTTTTCAAGCGAACTCAGACAGCTGCTAAATCATCAATCACTACCAAGAAGTAGTAAACTTTTACCTCTTACACCCTTTCTCGACGAACAACAGATTTTACGAGTCGGCGGTAGGCTTCAAAGGGCTAATCTTCCGTACTCCGCAAGGCATCAGATGTTATTGCCATCAAATCATCCATTTACCAAACTCTTGATAGAAAATGAGCATTCGAGATTATTGCACCTTGGATCGCAAACAACTCTAGCGTCCATTCGTCAAAAATTCTGGCCGTTGAACGGCAGAAACATAGTTCGACTTACAATTAGAAAGTGCATCAAATGCTTTCGCAGCAATCCTTCAGTTATTCAGCCAATCATGGGCAATCTTCCCAGAGCCAGAGTTCAAGTTTCTCGACCGTTCGCACATGTGGGAGTAGATTTTTGTGGACCTTTCTATCTTCGCGAATCCAAACGGAGAAACTCAAAGACCAACAAATCATATGTGGCTATTTTTGTGTGTCTGGCAACTAGTGCACGTGGAAATGGCATTCGATCTCTCCGTTGAGGGATTTTTACATGTTTTAAGGCGCTTCATGGGACGTCGAGGCAAACCAAGCAATATTTACTCCGACAACGCTACAAATTTTGTAGGAGCAGATCGTGAGCTGAAGGAATTACACGAAATGTTCACTGAAGAACAGCGTAAATTAGCACAAGATTGTGCTACTCAAGGTGTATAATGGCATTTTATACCGCCTAGAGCTCCTCATTTCGGTGGGATATGGGAGGCTGCAGTCCGATCATTCAAAACTCACTTCAGGAAGGTGGTCGGTGAAACATTTATTAACGACAGACGAAATGCTAACCCTTTTAATTCAAATTGAATCTATTTTGAACTCCCGTCCCATCACCGTCCTTTCCAACGATCCTAACGATTTAACCTATTTATCTCCTGGGCACTTTCTCATCGGAGACGTTTTTACCGATGTTCCGGAACCGACTTTATTGAACATTCAAGATAGCAGACTTTCTCGCTGGCAAAGAGTTGATCAAATGCGTTAACATCTGTAGAAAAGATGGTCTAAAGACTATTTACATCAATTACAACAACGCACGAAGTGGAGAATTGAGGACATTAATGTGACTCCTGGAAACATGGTGCTTATTAAAGAAGATAATACGTTGCCGTTGCACTGGCCTCTCGGCAGAGTACTAGAAGTCCATCCTGGAGACGACGGCATTGTCCGAACAGCTACGATCAAAACGTCTAAAGGAATCTTTAAAAGATCAGCAAACAGACTGAGTTTGTTTCCTATGGAACAATAATTTTAATTTTACATCTGCTACAATTTTTTAATGATTTATTAGCGAATTTGTTGTGTTTGTGAATAATCTTATTATCTATGTTTCGTTTCAGTTACATGTTGTTGCATACGGTTTATATAACATTTTGAAAAGCAAGGCTTTCCAAGGCGGCCGGCATGTTTGAGTTTGAATTTATTCATGGCTTCTTCCGGGACCCATTGCGCCGCCAGGAAGCTACTAGATGGCGCGACTGAGATCATCGTCACTCTATTATACATTTTTGTTTGAGTAGTAGTAGTACGTTATAAGATGGCTGAACATGTAAGAGGCTGCGTGCAAGATAGTTCTCATTTTAGCGTAAAATAAAGCAGTTATTTTCTACAAGGGAAGATAACGCCGCGAGTTGTTAATCATTTTTTAAATCCTCGCGTGACACATAACAAGCGTTTAAAAGACTTTTTATAGAACAGTCGGTGAAATACTACTGATTTTCGAGGAAGCGTCTACGTTTACATCTCAAGTAGAAGCTATCCTTAATTCGAGACCACTAATAGCTATCTTATCTGATCCTAATGATATGAGTTACATTTCAGCAGGACATTTTCTTATTGACGACACTATGATGTCTTATCCAGAGCCTAAACTTATGCAAATACAAACAAACCGTTTGTCGAGATGGCAGCATCTAGAGCAAATGCGTCAGCATTTTTGGAGACGCTGGTCCAACGACTATTTGCTAAAATGGCATCGTAATCAGGGACCTCCCATTCAAATCGGATAGTTGGTAATTTGTCGAGAGGATGGAACCCCGCCCATAAAGTGGGTGCTCGGTAGAATCATGGAAACAAGTTCAGGAGATGACAATATTGTCAGAATTGCGATCGTCAAAACTGCGATCGTCAAAACTGCGACCGGTTCCTTTAAGACACCGGCTTCTAAACTAGCCATCTTGCCATTCAAAGAAAGCTCTAGCGCACTTAATGATTAAGATTGATACTCAATGTATTCCGAATTAGAATTCAGTTGTAAATATTCTTTTTTGTTCCGTGTTTGTTTTTGATAGATTCTATCAAGGCGCGCGGTATGTTTGTGAATTTAAAGCGATTAGCGTCAATATCAAAGGTCGCGCCATTCTTTTCCCGCAGCGCCTAGCGGTTACCGATATTAATTTTTAGTTTAGCAGTCATCCGCCAGAGTCGCGCTCTCTCGACCCTCTGCGATCGTCACGTCAAGCGCGAATTTTTCCGTTTTGTTACTTTTTTTTCTTTATTCGGTACTCAATATTGTAACACGTATCTTAGACTGTCTGTATTAAAAGATTGTGTTTTTCGCAAAAGTGTTATTATTCACGAACCTCATTAAGGTATGTAACCTCACGAACAAGAATGTTTGAACATTATATAGGTAACTAAAATACTAATATTTGCACGTTAATTTTCCAATACCATATTTATTAAATTTAAGAACTAAAACAAAGTTAATTAGATCACATAATAAATATTAGCTAAGGTTAGAGATCTCACATGTAATTCACTGATTACCAGTGGCATACTTGGCATATCAGTGATTATCCACTGATTCAGATTTAGAGAGTACAGTACACCGCCGGCATTTGTATTATCTAATCTAAAATGTTCGACTGACAGATAAAATCTTTTTGCATTTATTTAAGCCCAATTTCACAATTCACGGTTAGCTCTTAACCGAGGTTCAATTTATTTCTCAATTTTTTCCAGTTCTAGAATTGAAAAGAGATAATGAATAAGTAGAACCTCGGTTAAGAGTTAACTGTCAGTTGTGAAACTGGGCCTTAGAGTTTACTCTAAATACATAACACAGTCAAGGCCATTGGAGGACGTTATCTTATTTTTATTTTTAGTGTAAAAATGAAAATAAGAGGAACAACTTTCAATATCCTTGACATATATTTTGTCTCTAACTCTGCAATTAAAAATGGAGGGTTCCGTTTAAAAAATTCGAACTGATCTTCATTGATCTTATGGACCACTCTAACTAGGGTAACTCCGGTATATACGCCGCACCTATCAAAAACTTAATTTATTAAGTATTATTTATTATGTTTAAAGTAAACGAACTATATCTACTATTACGAAAAAAATATTAGAAATCCGAAATATTTATATTTTCTATTAAAAAATGAACTTTTTTTAAACCCTTGTATTTTTGCCGTATATCTTATAAGGGTGGGATATATGGCTGCTCATAGAGGGAGGGAGGGGAGTATGGCTCATAAAAAATTTACAAATAATGCATATCAACAAGACGTAAAATGACACAATAACTTATAAAATGCGTTTACAAAGTTTTATTAAGGAATAAAAATGATAAATATGTATATGAAGTAATAAATAATAATTACAATCTTCCCAGATGTATTACAAGTGTTATGATATGAGGTACATATTTCATGTAATGCGTTTATTGTATTTAGTGCACTGAATTCAATCTGCGCACTTTGTATGCTTTGGGCATAAATCCCGCCTGTTAAAAATGTCATATATCCTACACAGGTGGCATATATTAGACAACAAACTAAACAAAGAATACAAGAGTAAAGTACTTGTATTTTGTTTTATACAACATACTTTATTATTCCTCTACACTCATGTATCACGAAATAACCACTAAGTCTTTTGCACATTCTACTGTAATATTTTATGTAGATTATAATTTATGACGCTACTTAACACAGTGGCAAATCGATTCAATTCACAATAATTTCATTAATATTAACAGTAAGAAACTGAAATCATAACACAATACTAATATAACATAAAGGCATGTAACAAAGTAGTTGCGAGAAAATTGCCCCCACTCCTTCTATTTTTTCTGACTTCTGCGGCGTAAATCCCAGCGCGACGTATTTGCCGGAGTTACCCTATACTTTTAACTATACTCCACTCTAACTATACTTTTGATTACATCACACACTAATACCTTATGTTGGTTCATATTGGCATTATACACATCATTAGATATATTCTCTTATATTACAAAAAATATGTACATATGTAAAAATATTCTCATAATAAAAGTGAGAGAAATTATTACTTACATAAGTTGATAAACTTATAGTTGATAAGTTGATGGCTTGCGAAAAAAATTGTTGTAAATATCACACTGATTCACAATATTTCGTAAATTCACTATTTCAAAGTTTTTACGTGACTAACTCATGCTTTGCGTCACGTATAGTAGAGCAAACTTCAACGATTTTTATTTTATTTACAGCAATCAGTCTTCAAAATTGTAGGAACACCAATCCTATAGAAAAAAAGAGTCAGATGAGGCATGCGCCGAAAAATATTGAAGGTAGGTAGGCTACGAGAACTACGGAGAAAATTTTATATTAAGTTTTAATACAATTTTTTAAATTACACTTTACTATGTCTAGTATTTCCGATGGACCGTCACAATATGATTCCGACATAACTTTTACTATGGTAATATTAATTTTTATCAAATAATTATAATAAATAAAGTAATTATTTTGTTAAGGTGGTTGTAAGGGCATAAAACACATATATTAATATTTTCGCTTTAAACAAACTACATACTTACATGTGAAAGTTGTGTTTATAACATTCTGGTTTTATTGAGCAACACATTTTTAGGTTATTTATTTTATTTGTTATTAATTTTATTGTTATAAACAAAAATTGTTAAAATAATAAGAAAAATCTAAATGTTTTTATATAAATATATTAAGTACTAAACATGACTTATGCAAAATTTCATTGAGATTCACCATTAGTTTATAACAAATAACAAATTTTATTTATTTACCGAACAATTAATGTCTGCATCTCAAGATAACTTTACAAAAATATTGTTGAATTCCTAGAGTATTTATATAAAAAAATTGAGATTTTTATCATTATTTTATAATACATTTTCATATATTTATATTAGAGTACAAATTTAAAAAATATTACTACTTATTTAAATAACTTTTGATCCAGATGGTCAATTGTTTCTATTTTTTTTGTATTATTATTAAATGAAATTTAGAATAGTCTGTAATTTTTTCAAGTGGTTCTTAACATATTGCATTTGCCTTACAACCTCCTTAAACCAGTGCTTAAGCCATATTCTAACATGAAAACTGTTAATTTTTATGGTAGAGTAGACCGGGGAGTAAAGGGCCACACATTTTTTTGCTATAAAATAAAGAATATTTAACTCACACAGATCGTGTTGATATTTTTCGAAACTAGAGTCCTTTAACTATAAAATACATGCAAGAAAGTATGCATATATACCCTTCATTACAAAGATATCGTAAATTTTACAGAGGAAGTCATTCGGCTCTTCTTACCCCATATATGGGGCAAGAAGTTCCACATAATTGGGGTAAAAAGTACCAATACTAATATATTACGTTTGAATTTTCAGAGATAAAAATAGGTATATACTAGAGTTTTTTTATTATAAGGTGGGTTTTTATTATTAAGAGGGTTTTGGTAACAAAATTATAATAGAAATATTTCAGTTTTAACAGAAAATTAAATTATTAATGTTTTCTTAATCTAAGACAAACTTTGAAAAGAAGAAAACTAACTAGCACTATATCGTGGTCGAAAACAAATAAGAATAGTCTTTCCTCTTACACTTGATTTTTTAAGTCATTTTGATCTTAAAATAAAAAATTAAATCAGTCTTCCAATAATGGATGATTATAACGAATTTGAAAAAATATTTGTTATAAAAGATAATTAAGCGATAAAATCATTCGTCATCATTAGGATTACAGTAATATAGACGCGTCGAATAAGCCTAATTTCATCAAAATCGGAGATGAAAGTCGCATTCTGAATAATTTACCTGTCTCTCTGCGTAACGAACACCACTAATGCTAATTCTACAATGAGTCGATAATCGAAAGTAATCGGTAACGTTTCGTACTATTAGCTTATTGGTCAATTTCACTGATAAGATTATCGACTTAGGATTATCGACTTGTTATAGAATCAACATTAACGAATACAGAGCAACCATGG